TTGTATTTTCTTCCAAAGTTCTTCTAAGTTTTTTTCTGTGTATGGTCTGGGGTCTCAGGACCGTAGTTTTGAGGGATACTAAGGTCAATTGTCATAACATAGTCCACAGAGAAAGTGTTTTACATCTGCTTTAGTGAGTAATGAATAGGGTCTTAAAAGCTTGTGAGCAGCCATCTAAAGTGCAAGTATTTGTTATTTGTCTCTCTCTGTCTGGAGCAAAGAACAGTGAAGAAAATCAAAGACGCAAGGAAGCAGTTAGTCCAAAATACTGTGGACCACGTGAATTCCAGTCTCCACAACCCTGAAACCAGAACTAGATGGTAGCTGGCTACCAGTGCTAACTGCTCTGAAAGGGATCACAATAGGAGGTTCTGGATAGAGTGGGAGAAAAAATGTGGAACAAAACTCAAAATCATAAAAAAAGACCAGGCTTATGATGAATACTAGTGGAATCTCATAGATTATGGCTCTTAGATACATTTCAAGCCTGGAACTGCATTCACCCCTGTGGCTCAACTTTCAGCCAAATGGTAGACTATAACGTGAACAATAGCACCAGGGAGGTGCAAACTCATTATATGAAACCAAAAGGACAGCATTTTCTCAGAGATAAAGCTCATAAGGCAGGAAGGGACAGAAAAGAAGGATGCGTGGAAATGGTAAACACAGGGAGGAAATGGGAAGGTGGTGGTACGTTGTGGGGATTGCAGTCAGTGTCACAAAACAAAATGTGTATGATTTGTTGGATAAAAAACAACTGTTTGTAAATTTTCATCCAAATCACAGTTTAAATAAATAAATAAATAAATAAAGTTTTAGATAAGGGAGTATCTGTGCTGGGAGGGAAATGATTATGTTTGGAGGGTTTTAAGCCTGGAAAATTTTTTTCCAAAAGCATGAAATGGAAAAAACAAATACCTATATCCAGGAGGTAATGAGATGAACTGTTTGATTGCAGTCGAGGATTCATTGAACAGAGCAATGGGAGGTGATGTAAAATCATATAGGGCTAGAATGTTGAGATACTGAGAACCAGGCAAATGGGATAGTTTGAACATTAAAAAAATAAACAAAGTAACTGATTTTAATACGTTGAATAAGTAAACATCCATAATCACATTGATACTCAAATTGTGTTTGTGTGTGTCTGTGTGTGTTTTAGCTTTTACATTGAGATTAAGTATTTTCTCCTTATGGAAGTCTCTAAGCTATGTTTTTGTAACCAAACCTGCTGGTACCACTGGGATCTGAATACTGTGGGTATTCCAAACCAAAGTAGTTACAGATGAGTCAGCTTTGACTTATGGTGACCTTGTGTGCAACAAAGTATAATGTACTCCACAGGGTTTTCAATGGCTGATTTTTTTGGAAGTAGATTACCAGGCCTTTCTTCTGAAGTGCTTCTGGGTAGACTTGAACCTCCAACCTCTGGTTAGCAGCTGAGCTTGTTACCTGTTTTTACTACCCAGGGAAGAAAGGTATTTCAGTGGATTTTGTAGATTTAAATTCACTGTTTTCTTTGAGCAGACACGATAGGCTGTTGCTAACCACTTCTATATACATTATTTCATTCTCATAATATCTCATAATATCCATGTGATTTAGTTATTATCAGACGAGGTGAGTGATTCTCAGAGCAGTCAGGAAATGCGTCCAAGGACAAAGTGTCAAAGCGAATATTCAGAGTCAGGTCTTCCAGACTCTAGGTCCAGGGCCTTTGACATACTTAAAACTCTTATTTTGTCCCATGAATTAGCTCACTAAGTAGGTTCAGGTGCTTGTATTCAGTGTCTCTGAGGAACCACCTGCCCACTGCCAGGGCTTCTTAGGAAGTACCTAAAATACCAAACCCAACCCACTGCCATCAAGTTGATTCTGACTCATAGTGACCCTATAAGACAGAGTAGAACTGCCCCATAGGTTTCCAAGGGTATAAATCTTTATGGAAGCAGACTGCTTCATCTTTGTCCTGCAAGTGGCTGGTGGGTTCAAACTGCCAGTTTTTCGGTTAGCAACCTAATGCTTTAATCACTGTACCACCGGAGCTCCTTTGTCTCTAAGGAAGGAAGGTATAAAAATATAAAAGGGGGAACTAAAGAAGACCAGAGGGAGAGCAGGAGCTACCTGCATGTAGCACAAGAATGTATATTTTGATTAAATGATGTATTAGGAAGGAATGTTTCTGAGTTGGGGAAAGCTGGCATTGTCTGCCAGGAAAAAAGAGCTTAAATAAAACAAAATTTGCTTCCTTTCATATCAGTAACTAAAGAGAAGAAATTATAATGTTTAATATCACAAATATCCTTGATAGTGTATTTATATCATACTTACTTGTAAATGATGAGATCAAGGGGCAAGAGGAGTATAATTGCTTTGGTATAAGACACCAACATGCTCCTGGCACAAAATCTCAATGGGTCACTACATTTAGCAATGTTCACACTTTCAACCTATTTTAATTTTTATTTAATAAATGTGTTCATGTATATGTCCATGCTTAGACCTAACTGGTTGATTTGATAGAAAATTCACACCTCTGTTTCTTTATGCTTTGGTACTGTTTTCTGAATGGCTTTCTGTGGAAGTTACTGGCTGTCTTTTTTGTTTCAGTCCTATTTAAGAACAAACTGACAATGAAGCACCTGCCAGTGAATTCCTTCGGTTTTCCAGTGTTCATTGTTCGTTTACCTTTTCCTGTAGATGTTTTGAAAGTATATGTTAATAAAAACTAATTTTCAGAGTTGCTGGACTTTGTCTTCAATCTCATTCAAAAGAAGTCAGCCATGTAGTTTGTCAGCCATGTAGTTTTAAAATCCTAGGAACAGTCATACTCAATGTGTTTTTCTTTTCCCTCCAGACAAGGCACCTCTGTCCAAGAGTCTTCTACTGGTCCCCAGTGCCCTGTCCCTTCTATTGGCCCTCCTCCTGCCTCAATGTCAGAAGTTCTTCCTGTATGACCTCCAAGCAATAAAGAACGACTTCCAGGTGAGCTCTGCTTCATTGGCCTCTTGGGAGGAGAAAAGGAAGATTTTTTTTTACCCCTTGCTGCTTTTCTCCTGCTACTATTAGTCACTCAAAGCCCCTGTAACTCTATTTATTGTTAATATCTCATTAACAAGTAAATTTTCTGGTTGTATTTGTTGATATTTTCAGCATAGCAAATTACAATGAAGCAATTGTATTTCCTTTTACTGGGGACATCTTTTTTTTTGTTTTTCTCATGGCAGTGCAACTTATATGTTCAAAGCAATTGAAAACGGTGTTAAATTATTATTTTTTTAGGATTATTGTGTATACTTAACATTTCCAAATACATGTCTGTTTGAATATTTGATTAGATGATCTGAACTCTTTCAGCTCTAACAGATTATAAATCACTGATTGATTTTATATTGGTGGTTAAGGAGGAAATATTTCTTCAGTTTTAGTTGCTGTAAAGAGCAGAACTATGGCTTTTAAGATTTGTAAACTGCTTTTATTGAAAATGCTGCTTCTGGGGTTCTTGTCTGTGAGTTGGAATGTTAATGCCAATTATGATGTATAATCTGTCAGCCTTTTTTGCTAAATATTTGATTAGCCATTTTAAACTTCAAGTTACATTTTTTGAACTTCAACACCTTTTCTTTATAGTGATATAATTAATAATGTTGCTTGAATTGGCTTTACAAGTCCCTGTGAAGTTCTTTCAGTTTTCTATGTATACTACTACTTTCTGTAGTTCTATGGCTATGGTAGTAGAATATGGTATTGTGTCTGTATTGTTTTAGTTGCTCTGATCTAGTGGTTCTCAACCCTTGATACTCATGAGGATCATCTGGGGGAAACTTTAAAAAAGTAAAAATTGATGGCAGAATTTCACCCTTAGTTGATAGCTAGACTGATGTCTCTGGGTAGGGGAAGCAGCAGCTAGTAGTGTGATCATTGGTCATGGAGGGTGGCTGAGGGTTGACTGGTTGGTTGTTGACCCCCATCTATAGTTGGTCCAGGGGCACAGAAGTGGATGGTGGTACTTGTTGAATTGACGGGACTGCGGATGGGGATGGGCAGCAGGCAGGTGGGGGTCTGGGAGGATGCTGTCCACCACTCGCAGGATTGGTGGGTGAGAGTGTGTAGTTGGCTAGCAGGAGTATGCTTGCTGCTGCTCACTGCTCACCAGCTTGCAAGGATGGGAGGTGGCTGAGTGGGTGTGCAAGAGTATGTTTACTGCCACTGGTTGGATATGCAGTGGGGAGGCACGTGGGGCTGGGTAGAGGGAAAAGAGGGGCTTGTATTATGGTCACCAGGGTAATATGAAGAGGGTGAGGGAAGGGAGAATGTACTCCTCTGATGTTGGTGCCTAGGCGATTCTCATTGGCTGTAGCCAGCAGATGGGTTCTGGCCCTGAGAAAGTATGAGGAAGAAGAGGGATACCTGGAATCTAGTCAGATAGGGGAGCTCTCACTGAAACTCTGTAGATCTGTTACTTCATGTGTGCCACCTACCCTAATGGTCAGGGACTTCCACTGTTGATTATACCTGTTTTTGGGTCCTGGCTCCTTCCCTGATCTGTGGATGCCAGGATCTCTGGAGCTCTTGCCTTCCTTCCTACTTTCCTTCCTTAGACCCAGATCATGTTCTGTTTACCTTGCTTCACTCTGAGTACATCTAGATGGTTTCTGTGTTTCTTACTGGGAGGTCTGTGAAGTTGCCTTCTTGTGCTTCTCTCAGGGGTGGGTGCTGGCTTTATCTTTAGATGGCTACTCTGTGCAAAGGTGGTTGGCAAGGTACCTATGCTTTATGTCACTCCTTGTTTGCTATCTTTATTCAGTTTCTTCTTCCAGTTGGCATTTGATCCAATTATTTATCTTTGTATATTGATGTTCAGGGTTCCAGGATTGTCATCTGAATCTATTTCACTTGATTTTTCAGGTCTTTCCTGTAGAAGGATAGTCTTGTATGTCTGTGTGTCTTGGCCTTCCTCTGCAATGATTGTTCTTAAATTATGTTCCAAGTTTTGTATCCTTGAGTGTAATTACAGAGCACAATTTATTTAAAACTATAGCTATCATTTTTGTTTGTCATTAACTAGGGAAAAAACAAAAACAATGTCCAAGCAGTATGTTCTATAAACCTAATTTATTATGTTTTACTAATTTTAAAGTCTTAATTTGTTTAAACCCCCAGATTTTCCTGAGTAGAGTACTTTTGTTAGAGTATTACAAGTAGTAATAGAGGACTTGGAGCTGTCTTTCATTTTTCCTGAATCTGTTAATGTACAAAGATGGCAGTCATATCATCTTAGATTTGTAACATACTCGACAATTTACAAAGCACTCTCATGTATTATTATGTTATGTTTATTTTATTATGTTTACATATATATATATATATATATGTTTTTTTTTTAGTATGTTTATATTTAGTATGTTTTTATTTAGTATGTTTATTGTAGTATATGTTGGCCTAAAGTTTCAGTGTGATTCTGGTGCATAATCACAGAACAGGAGAAATGTTATTTAGTTTGAAGATGACAACTATATAACATGTGTGCTCATAACAGTCATTGCTAACTGATTATGATGCTGTTTTTCATCAATCCCAGCTATGGTCTCAATAGAGATTTATAGCCAGTGACCTCCATTTCAGCTAGATTGGCACATGAAATGAAATCTGGTGGCCATACCTGAACTAGTCCAGTGCCTTCATGTTTTAGAGTACACTAACAACAAAAACTCTGGCCAGTATCTTGCTTGGAGGAGAGAAAGATGTAAACTGTTTTGAATTGGTATAGTCAGTTTTCTCGTTTGTATTCTTGTTATTAATTTCTTTTGACAAGGGCATGGGTTGTATGACTTTAGCTGATTAAAATACTTTTTCTGGACCTCATTTTCTTACCTTAAGGTAGGATTAATATTTGTTTAACCTATCATAAGTAATTGTGATAGGGGAAATAAGATCAAAATATTCCACAAATCTTATTGGGATTGTCTTTAAAATTTTGAAAAGTATTTAGCAAGATATAAAATAGGCCTTTCAGTAGCTCTTTCTTCTTTGTATATACACTTTTGGTTTTCACCTGACTAGAAGTTGATTTAAATAAACTAAAAGTTAAATTACTGGAGTTCTGGTAAGATGGCAGAATAGACAAACTACACAGACCCTCTTCAACAAAAAAAAAGGGTAACCAAATAACACAGATACAGAAGATAATCCTGGAGCCCTCAGCTTTGAAAGGGAGGATACGGAAGTGGACTAAACTCCAACTAGTAGAAGAACCTGCACGAAAACACCGAAAAAGGAGACATATGGAGCTGTAAACTGTTAGTGATCCTGATGGCACGGACAGCTTGGATATTGCCAAGTGGTGTTAAAACTCTCACTGCTATTGGGTCGGATCCAATTCATAGCGACCCCTCCTTGGGTTTCCGAGGCAGTATCACTACAGAAGTAGATTGCCCAATTTTCCTTCCAATGTGTGGCTGGTGGGTTTGAACCTCCAGTCTTCTGGTTAACAGTCAAATGCCTTAGACATTATGCCATTACAGTTAGGACCTGAGAATGAACCTAAAAATTGGCCCTGCTAGCCAGGGGCTGCACAGAGGACTGCGCTGGTGGCTAATGAATAAAAGGAGAAGCAGCGAAGAGGGAGATGCCTGAGCTGTGGATTTTTGGCTTTCCAAGGGATGCAGCCATTATGAATGTTTACAAGCAGTTTGACCATTTTGGACATTTAAAGCAAGAATGTTCTCTCAGATTCCAGGGACCTACGAGTAGGCTCCATTTTCTGGGGAGCGCAAGGGCATACCTGACACGAAGGACTGGATGATATAACCCAGAAACTAACAAAATTATGGAAGTGTGCAAAGTAATATAAGCTTATTAGATTGTAAACAGGGGACCAGAGACATCAATTGGCAAATGAGGACAACTACAAACCAAAAAGATGGGGGGAAATAGTGTAGTTACAGAACTTCTAAATGGTGAGGAAGTCAAGAAAGTTGCGAGATAGAATGGACTGTCCTAAACTTGGGGAGAAAATTATAAATCACAGGGTAACCTCAAAGAAAAATGATAAACCTTCACATCACAATTAAAAAGAGGACAAGCACAAATATTTAGCAAATACTAAAACAACAGCAATGAAGAAAATAATAACATGATTCATAAACAAAATGATCTCAGCACAGAAAATTTTATGGAACAAAGAAACCAAGAAAACCATGAAAATACACATAAGAAAATGATTGCAACAAATTCCTACTTGTCAACAATTACACTGAATGTCAATCAATGGATTAAACACATGACTCAAGAGATGAAGAGTTGCAGACTGGATAGGAGAACATAACCCATCAATATGCTGTCTACAACAGGCACACTTTAGAGACAAAGGAAAAAAAAAGACTAAAAATTAAAGGTTGGAAAAAGAAAAGTCAAGGAAATGGCAACCAAAAAAGAGCAGGAATGGAAATATTAATTTCTGATCAAATTGACTTTAAGACAAAAACCACCATAAGAGACAAGGAAGGACATTATATAATGATTAAAGGATCAAATGAACAAGAAGAGATAACCATAACAAATATCTATGGACCCAATGAAAGAGCCCCAAAAGACATAAATCAGACTTTAACAGAATTGAAAAAACAAATAAATGATACCACAGTCATAGTGTTGTTATGTGCCATCGAGTCGGACCTGACTCATAGTGACCCCTCCTTGGGTTTCCAAGGCAGTATCACTACAGAAGTAGATTGCCCCATCTTCCTTCTGAGGAGTGGCTGGTGGGTTTGAACCATCAGCCTTCAGGTTAGCAGTCAGGTGCCTCAGGCACTACGCTACCAGAGCTCCCACAGTCATAGTAGGAGACTTTAATACACCACTTTCAATCAAAGATAGAACAACTGGAAAGAAACTCAACAAAGATGCAGAGGAACTAAACAATACAACCCACTTGACCTTGTAGACATCTACAGAACATTTCACCCAAAAAGAGCACAATATAT